AAACTGTATGATTAATTCAGTTGCCCAATTTCCTGGTTGCTGAAAAGTATTTTTTTGAAGAACTATGTCACAGAATTCAGAACCATGGACAGCACGCTACTTTGACAGCCCTATTATTGGTTACGGACGTAACTTACAAAGCTCTTTCCCAAAACTCTTCAGGCAAATGGATATGAAACTAGTGTAGGAGATGTAGGATGAAGTAACCAACAACTTGTTAGAAAAAAACTGTAAAGATGACTTTCAAGCAGAAGGAGGCAAACAGTAATTGACAGAATTTGATTGCACAAGACAGCATAAAACCTAGCCACTTAGCCAAAAATGCATAGTTGCGAAATTTGCTGCTGTCACAAGGAGCAATATAAAACTAAGTTGTGAAGAGGATGGGGGACTGTTCAAAGGGAAAAAAGACACGTTAAGTACATGGACGAAGGTCAGCAGATGGCGTTTAAATGTGGGAAAATGTTAACTGGTTCACTGACAGAAAGAACAGAAAATTTTTTTAAAAACTTTGTTCAGGGGATATGAGCGTACACAGCTGGGTCAACATTTAATGACCATTCCCAATTCTCTGGAGAAGTTCATGATAAGCTATGTCTTGAACCACTGCAGTCCTTGACATGTAGAGACATTCCATGCTGATAGGAAGGTGAGTTGCAGGATTGAGAGAGAAATTGCAGACCTCTGGGTACAAGCTTTGGAGAACTGGGAGCCAATACATGCCAAAGTCAGAAATGAAGAATACACAAAACATTGTTGTATCAGATATGGGCAGTATGTTTTGCATTAACTGAACTTGAGACTTAAGCATTAAATTTAGCATAAGTATTGAAATAGTATGGTGGTGCCAAATATATGTGCAAATGATTTGGTTGAAGATAGCTGATGTAGAGGCAAAGCCAGGCAATGTTATAGAGGTATAAAAATAGGAAATCTTAGCATTGGAGGCAATAATTCACCCCATGCTGCACTCTTGCCGGTTTCCAATGCTTTCAGTAGTTACAATCCATTAGTTTCACTCTTCTCATTTCACAGATACTTTGTCAATCTGCAATGGAATCGACATATAGGCACGAACAAAAACCTAACAGCAATACTCCACACCTCTGGTCAATGCACATAGAGTTCTATAACACTGATAGTCAACAAGCACTATTCTAAGACATGATACTTGGCAAGAAAACTTCTTAGTAAATGCTCTTGAACACTTCGTGGTTCCCATATAGCGGAATTACTGGTTCACTCCGACTGCATCAGAAAAAGAAATGACAGTACAGCCCATACACCCCTGGAAACATAGCAACTTTCACTTTCATGCATATTTCCTCATGCTCTGAAGGGTCACAGGACTCGAAATGTTAACTGTTTTCTCTCCACAGATGCAACCAGACCTGCTGACTTTCTCCAATTTGTTTTATTTTCTCATGTATTGTTTAGCCTAAAGAATTATTTTTTTAAATACAAAGATTCAAAACATACAGAATTAAAAAAACTTGCAATGAAAGCACCAGTCATCATCATAGGACATCCCAAGGTACTTTTCAAAATGGAAGTTACTGTTCTAATTGTAGACTACAGAACAGTAAATTTGTGAAATGGTTTATATAAATAACCTGGAAATCTGATCTGGGATACATGGAAATATCTGAGCATATGTTTCGTGATATAAAGTTGTATCATGATGCAAGCTGAGGTGTGTAAATGACACAATACATGTCAGTTCAATGAAGAATCGCATAATTCAACAATTGCTAATGAGGCCGATGAAAATCTCATCGGCAACACTTTGAGGGTCAGTAGGCTTTTTGTTCAAGTACTCTCAGTATCAATGTTGCACATTTGCCAGTGGTGTACACTCGAGGCAAAGTGCTTACTGTGACGTAGATTGGTCTTGGGCTCAACTGATTGAATTCAAAGCCTACCACAGGCCATCACAATTTAATTTAAAAGCAAGGGACAAGTATTTCTCAAGACAAAGGAGAAATGGTGTGAAATTCTGCAGATGTACGATTAGGATCTCTTAGCACATGGTTGCTGTAGGGTATTTCTGATCATGAGATCGTGTCACTCAACCTTGCTGGTCACAATTATACTCACTTCTTTATGGTCAAGGGTCTGGGCTAACCTTTATGAATCACATTGAAGGATGACGCATAATACAATCAACACAAGTTTCAGGTTTTGAATAAATAAAGTATGTTTACTATGTGCAACAATGTGATTCACTGCACAATCACTGCTAAACATTCTTATTTGATTAGTAACCAAATACATTACTTCCCCTTGGACTATACGGAACCAAGCCCCTCCATGCTCCCCTACAGTAGTTAAACTTCCAAAATGACATAAGATTTGGTTGGGACATGCATTATAACTCTCCACGTGGCAGTGGATTGCATATTCTGCAGCCTATGGATGAAATGCTCACCCAGTCATATCTTCTCTTCAACATTCTCAGGCTATAGCTATTCCTTAGGATATACAACATCCTTCAGTTCTGTCAGTGGACAGAGAAACACATACTGTTCTAATGTACCAATCTTGCACAGCTTTGTGTCTTGTGTTTATTCCTTCCTTTTCCAGTGTTCAATCCCTTCCTTTAAGATTACCCAAGTCATGGTTTTCTGACTGATCTCCACAGACAGCAACAAAAAAAAACAAAAATTGCCTCAATTGGTCCCCACACAGAACGCGTTTTTTTGAACAAGTATTGTTTCTGTCCCTCGTCTAGCTGGTATTGCGGGGCAATGGGAACCGCTCATCTCGAATGCTATATGATGTGTGAACTGCCTTCCAATGGACTCCATTGTCTCCTTACCCATCTCCTTGATTATATCAAAATCAGTGGATACCATTGTCTCCCTAGCCAACTTTGGAGACAGTGCTGAGCTGAGCAATGCTTTTTTTTTTTGAGTGTGATTAGTTTTAGTTTACTATTTGAAAACTCTCCTTTCTGGTCCTGGGACCAACAGTCTACATGTTAAACAGAATCCCTTTTCCCAAAGCTGGGATATTCCCTGGTGAAGACCATCCAGGAATGCATAATTTTTGCTGCATCAGCTCTCAGTAATTACTTTGTGCTTCACTACATAATCATGGAAGTCTTTCATAGGAAAGATGGGTGCAATCACCTTTACAGCAACTACGACATATTGATAGATCAATGAGAACTTTCACCATGTCAGGATGGGACTTTCTATGGTATACATTCAACCCTCATGCCTCAATCTCCTGGTGTTTTGGTGAACACAAAATTTCACCTTTGCTTTGGTTTCGCAAACTAATAAATAACATCCATATAAGGTGAAGGTATACTTTGTGACGAGTGACTTGTCCTGTGAGGTACCGAGTCTCTGCCAACACTTGTGCCACGGTGTTACTACAAAAGATCAATTAAGCTTCTAGTCAATGATACTGAAGTTAAAAGGTCATGGAAGATAGCTTTTTGTTTTCGCTTTGTATCAGAGATAGAAATTATTTAGCGCTAAGGTAACGCAAACGCTATCTGCCACTTTCTCAGCCCTACCATGGACCAGCACAGACAAAACTACGAGACGTGGGAAAACCCACAAAAATTAATTTCCATCTAAGGCTCTCAAATTAGTTATTAGAATATCCACTTTCCTCAATACTCCAGAATTTTAAAATTCCACAGGCTACATACAAATTGAAAACATTGGCTAACTGAAGAGTTTCCCATGGTGAATGAAATTTATAGAATTACATTTTATGAAAGAAATGCTGCAACAAGTACAAGATTAAGAGGACACCACAAAAATAGTCTTTAATTACTTTGAACTATGCTAAATTTTCACCCTAGAAAGTACTTTGAGATTTCAAAAGGAAAGCTGTGTTCTGCTTGCTCTAAGCCCCAGAGGGGGTGTGAAAAGTTCAGAAAGAACATAAAAAGGTAAACTCAGAACTACTGAATGATTAAAAGGAAAGAACTTTACATAATCAGCATATGCAATAATCAACTGCAATCTATATAGCTAAAGGAAATAGGGAATAATATACTGAGAAGGAAAGAAAGACTTGCAATTACATATTGCTTTTAACAACTGTCAGACTATCTTTAAGCATGTCGATGTCAATGTCAATAAAGGTACCACTTCAACAAATAACAGATAGAGGCATTTGATCATATAACCAGGTGAACCCAGCTAAAAGAATGCTGAGGGAAGTCCTTAAATTTCCAGCTACACTGAACTTAAAGAGCTACTTTGAATGTCAATTTGAAAAACCTCCAAATATGCTCTTGGCATTGCAAACATCATTTCACTCAACAGGCGCAGAGTTCCAAGAGGCATATCATCTTTCAATGATCAAAGTTGTAACATATGAGTATCCAGTGATCTCGCTGCTGCAAGATTTTCTTAAAAGAATGTACATAAAAGAGTTTCAAAAGCTGTCAACCATTTCATTGAATGGAACAGTCAAAGTATTCTGACATATAGTGTTTTGTTGAAATGACAGATCTTCATGATTCAGAAGGGCTTGACCCTCAAAGTATTCAATGTAGCAAAGTAATGTTAGAAAAAGTCATAACTTGAAAAGCATACTTCAAACATAAAATTCCCCATCATTCAAGTAAATAATTTTAGTAAATGACTGATGCTATCAGAAGACATGTTAGACACTTAACTACGTTCAGGTACATGTCACATATATTAGAAAATAAATTTCTCTTTTACTTCCATATGTAAATATAGCACACTCCAAATCATGCTCACAAAATGTTTTGGTTATAATGTTCCCCCGGTCTACAGCTCAATACTAATGCAATACAATCAGGTTGGAAACCACCTGGGGTGCAGATCAGGAACTGTCAAGTATGTCTTAAAATTGAATGTTGATAATTTGATTCTTTCCTTTAATTCTTTATTCAAGGAGGTAAAATCAAAATATAAAAGAAAACAAAAAGAGTGGAAAAATACAATTATTAGCTATGTGTAGGCTTGGAAAAAAATAAGGTAAAGATGCCTAAGAGATAGTAACATTTTTCTTCCACATTTATTGCACTTCACAAACAAAGTCTGCATATTTTCTGATGCACTTGCCCATATTGAGAGAACTAAACATAAAAATATTTCATTTGTTACATGCATTTTGGGATGCAAATGTACTTTATACATGCAAGATCCTCTCTCTGTCAGAATAGATTGTATAAGTACGTTTCAGATTGTAGTTCTATAGATATATGCTGGTTGATTAAATTTTAAATCACAACAAATATACTGATTCAAGACGATACAAATAAAAATATTTCACTCTTAAGCCACTAAGAATATAATACGGTGAGGAAGTAAAAATGAAATCACCTGCTGTATTCTTAGGCACCACTACCACACTTCTAAAAGATCAAACCTTTTAAGCTGAAGTACAGTTTACATTAATTCAATGCTGCTTAAAATGACAGTGATAATTGATTACTAATGCTATAATCTACAATGGGTCAGCTGTGGCTCATCTGGTAATATTCTTGTTTGAATCCTAAGGTGATGGTTCAAGTCCCACTCCAGCGCTTAAGCAGCAAAATCAAAGTTGATATTTTAGTGCAACATTGCGGAAGTGCTGTATTATGGAAATGCACTCCTTCATGCGAGATAATAAACAGAGACCTTGTTTTCTCTCCAAATGGCCATTAAATATCCATGGCACTAATTTGAAAGATATGCAAGATATTTTTTTCCAGTGTGTAGGCCAATGTTCACCACTCAATCAAAACTACAAAACCACACTGTCCAGCCATTATTAAAATCAATGTTCGTGGGAGCTTGCAATGCACAAGTTGGTTGTTAGGTTTCCTATCTCACAAGAACTACTATTCAAAAAGTATTTTGCTAGCTGTAAAGTACTTTAGGATGCCCAGAGGTTGTGAAAGGTACGATATAAATGCAAGACCATTTATAAAATAGATCTGCAATTGGAGCATTTAAAGGTCCATGGATCACATTTTCCAGTTGACCGCATTCACATGTCCATACAAGGAGTGTTATTCAGTCAAACCGAATTTATACAGTTGAATTAAATACTACAGATTAAACTGCTCGATTTCAAATATTAGAATTAAACTATTAAAAACTCGATATCGTGTATACTACTTCTTTGAAATTGCTTTTGACAGATCAAAAGTCTGAACTAAAAACAGAGCTGAGCGTACCACTCGTCATTTAAGCAAAACTAAGTGGCAAAACACTCCAGATAATAATAATAACATAAATACAATGCGCATATGCATTGAGGCAGGAACTTAAGTGATAACTCAAGAATAATTGGAAGCTAAAGGTCCGGGAGATTTCAGGATCACCACAGGCTGGAATTACAGGGGTTGGGATGGGGTCCAATAGAAATCGACCAGGGAAGATGAAAAAAAGCTGGCATGGAAGAAGTGTCTGTAACATGGAGAAACATTCTGGAGACCAATAAAACTCTGTTCCTTACTTTACAAAATGAGAAGAAATTTGGGTGAGAACTCATTTCAGCATAGCAACACAGTCAGCGTTTTCCCAGATATCTGGTATGTATCAATTTCATGAGCAGCATGTAGCCAAGAAGCAAAACCAGAATTTTCTATTCAACCATCCTCTTTCAGCAGCAGAGGTGTCAGGATAGGGGTGGGGGTAATAGCCTAGCTACACAAAAAGTTGAGAGCTCAAACCCCAACAAAGTTTCACAATATAAACTTAAGATCAGCAAATAATAATTAAATGAGTTAATTACTAATTAAAACAATTTACAGGCTCAACTTAGGGGAAGGAAACCTGCAACCCCTACTTTGCCTTGTCTACATGATTCTAGTCCATCTTGTTCCTTGTTACTTTTGTCTTCTGAACGTAAATACTTTATTGCAAAGTTGACTGCATCCCAAGAACTGAGGGGAGAAGACGAACAAAATCCAATAGCAGAATTCAAAAACAAAAGCTCGAGTTCCCAGAGAGGGTGAGAACGAATAGTTCCTAGAGAGGAATAAAATGGACAGACTTAAATATCAGTTAGTTATGTGGTTATGTTTATTAATACATTATGCATTGTATGTTTGGCTTGCATGCAAAAACAGCTGGGGAAGTAGGACTAAAACTAAAATAACAATTTGTCATATTAACAGGTTATTCTCAATTACTGACTAGGAAAGAAATTAGTGAATAGGTTGGCAGCATGCTTTCACCCTTCCAACTATTAGTTTGTAATTAGCAATTTTTCCCTAATTTGAGATGACAGAAATGCTTCCCAAATAGAACTGAACCAAATGTATTTGACAGATGGCATTCTTGATTTGCATTTAAAGATACAAGACTAGAAAAACTGACTTAATTTCAGTGTTGCATTTGTACTAACTTTTGTCTACAAGCATTGGACTCAGGCAATCTTACCATTTGTTGCGCAAAGGAATCTTTAAAGTACTGTTGGCTAATTTTCTGCCAATGCAGTAGAGGGCAGTGTAAATCCACTGCCATACCATTACATACCACTACCATAAACATGAAGGAAATACCAAACTAGAGTTCCAGCATTATGACAAATCATTGGCAAAATGCAGTGACAATCTGCCAAGTCACAAAGACTCACGACTTTGAACAACTTTATATTTGCATTTCTTGTTTTACTCACACTTCACGGCAAAATCAATTTGGTTTAGGGTTGTTATGGAAAAGGATAAGGATGAGCCAGGAATAAAAAGCTCAAACTGTGAAACACTAATTTTGCTAAGATGGATACAATGTGGCCCAGGTGGACAGGGAGCAGCTGGTTGCAGGTAGAACCATGTCAGAGCAGTGGGCAACACTCAAAGACTAAACAGTGAGATTATAGGGCATACGTGTCCCTGTAAAGGGAAAAAAGATGAGACTAAAGGTAGAGGACTCTGGATGTTATAGGATTATCTCAAGGCTGGGCAAGGCAGATTTCTAGTCAGCAAGGGAATTAAGGGTTATGGAGGTAAAGCAAGAAAATGGGAGTTGTTGATCAGTCATCATCACATTGAATGGCAGAGCAGTCTCGATGAGACAAAATACCTACTTTTGTTCCCTGGTCTTATTGTCTGCCAAGGTGAAGAAAAAAGACAAGTGGATGGCAGATACTGAGGGCTCATTGCAGCCAGATCCCTACACGTAAATTTCTTTAATACTATTAGACGTGTGTTTTAGTTAAGAATACAGGAACAACAAATTCGCAGCCCAGTTGTTAATTTTCAGGTACTGTCCTTGCTGATTTAGCCATTGTATGCATCTGATATTTTACACTTTAATGCATATATTGATTTTATAAGTAGTGACGGACTGTGGAATCTGTTATTAACCAAGCATTTTATTTTACTGACCTTGCTGGTAGAATCCCTACATTAAATGTTAGGGAGATGTAAATTTTTTTAAAAAAAGTTTCGATAAAGGTTGCCTGCAGTTGAGCATGCTGGTTCTAATCTGTGTAATACTTTGGCCAGATTTGGTAAGGAAACAGAAATGGGCTGAGTGTTGATAGTTCCGATCAGTGTTTTGAAACAAGTTTTTCTTAAAATTACCATATTGAAAGCAACATTTAATGAATTATGAGAGTCACAGACTTGTCAGCTTCCCCCGGGCCATCTCCACTTTGCAGTAAACTGCAAACTATGCTTTACAATTTGTCAAAAAAAGTGGCACTACATCAAGTCAAGTACACATCTGAGAGCCTTAGAACATCTGACACAACTGCCACTAACCTCATCTCTCTCAACCATTTGCTGGATTTGCAAGTTGCAAGTGCCATCTGGACTGATTTATTTTTCTAAAAAGGGGGGAAAGGAGTGCTCTACTCTACTCAATGATCATTCAAATGTCAAACTGCCAATGTAGAGAAATGACAGCTCAGCTTGAGCGGAATCTGTCGGCTGTGTTGGTCCAAACCGCTGAGAAGCCTACTACAATGTTACAATGCACTGAACCACATCCATGCCAATTATGACAACATTAAAATGAGAAGTAATAGGTAATGCATCGGAACAAAAAAAAAAGTCAATATAATTTTCAGCATCTCAGAACTGGTCATCTGATCATTTTCTAGGTGTGTTTGAATCAAGAACAGCATTTGATTCTGTTGTGTAACTGATTACAAACCTGATCCATTTCATTAAATTATATTGATTTCCATTCTGCCATATTGTAAATATCTTTAAATGGTATAGTGGATGCTGGAAAATCTGCAAACAAACCTGTACTGCTTGGAGTGGGGGCAAAACAAGCTAAATGGAACTATTTTCTTCTTTGTAATGTGCAGCCAACTATCCTGTAAACTGGTTGCACTTGGAAAACTCACTATGCAGTTGCAAGCATGGACTACTAGCAAAATTTTGACTAATCTGCAGTGACAGTGTTGAAATACGTTGCATCATGACAATTTTGCATCTTTCAACTCCAGTAAATTTACTGCCCTCAGATCCTCTATAAAAACACTCACCTTGAGAAATCCTGGAGCTCCATTTCACAAAAACAAGTGCCCAAGGCCATAAAATCTAACATTAAACTAGGTTTACAGAATCCCAAGCCACTAAGAATAAAATAGTGCAACTTTGATTAATACTTCCCAACTACATCTGTAGAAATACATAAGACTGCTCTACCTGGGAAAAATAATAGCTTTCACAACCCACAACTGACAGTATGTCACTGGTAACTGGCACTCTGTATCAAGACCAGATCATTAATCAGCTGCAGGACAAATACTGCACCTATTCAATGGTCTTTGAATTCACGGTGCTGCTATTGGCAAGTTTAATTAACAGAATTGCATTGCACCAATACTAACATGCTAATCTGCAGACAGTCTTGATTAAATGAACTTTATTTATACCTCCACAACAGTGATGACAGTGTAATAAAAGGCTTGGCCATTAAACAATACCGTACTTCCTCCTCACTTATAAAAAAAATGATATATACATTAAAGTGTAAAATAGTAGATGTGCATGTTTTCCCAGAATACACTGACCAAACCAATATCAACAATGTCCGAAGTTTAAAAAGTGGGCTGCAAATTTGTTCCCGTCTTCTCAACTAAAACACATGACCAATAGTTTCAAAGAAATTTATATGTAAAATTGTTTTTTTTCCTCAGCACCAAGTCTGTATTCAACAACCATAACTTCTGACAAACAGCAGTGAGAATAGTTCAATGAGTAGTAGGTGGTCTAGGGGCCAGGTGGAGGTCTTATGCTGGTCAGTTGTCTGCCAAGGGTAGAGGCGAAGAAAGAGGCTACAAAGGGATTTGGTTAGAGAAAGAAAAGAGCTGCAAGCGGTCTCAGGGGAACAAAGAGGGTGACTGTGGGGGTACTGAAGCAGCCATGGGAGTGGCAGGCTGCAGTGGGAGAAGGGGGAGCCTGTAAGGGGGCAAGAGGAGAGCAAAAGGAAAGACAGAGCTTTAACTTATGATCAAATCAATCCAGAGTTTATTAGCAGACAGAAAAGTACTTAAGTATTGATTTCCTTGCAAATGCAGGTTGGATCTCTAATGAGGCATGTGCTCCGGAACCACTATATGGGAAAAATGTAATGGATGCTTTCTAAATGAATATCATTGTCAATTGTTACATTTAAATCTGGAGATTGAGATCCAGGATATGGCAAAAAGTGAAATAATGACCTAAGTCCATATAAACAACAACATCAGTAGACATTCCCCTGTCCACTACTTTAGTCACTTCTTCAAAAAAAAAATCAGACATCAACGACCTGTCATGTATCCATGTTGGTTCTCTGAAAATTTGAGGCGTTCAGGTACCCTGTCCTTGATTGTGGATTCCAACAATTTCCCCACCACAGCTATTAGGCTAACTGATCTGAAATATCTCCTTTTTTCCCCCTCTCTCTCCCTCTTAAAAAGCAGAATGACGACTCCTGTATCTAAGGAACCCTGAAAAGTTACAGTTAGGGCATCTACAATGTGCTCCTCTATTACTTTAACACCCACGGAATGAAACCATAAGATCCTGGGGATTTGTCTCTCTTTAATTCCCTCATTATCGATCCTTAATAACAGATCAGAGACTGAATGAAATTAGTTTCCTCAGTGCTCCCAACAAGTTATCCTCCTTTTCCACTGTAAATACTGAGGCACAGTAATTAATCAACATGTCTGCCATTTCTCCACAGTCATTGACAATATCCCCACTTTCAGTCTTAGTGGGCCAACATTGCTCCTGACCACCCACCTTCCCTTTATGTAACTATAGAATTGCTTATTAATTTTGATGGCCCTGGCAAGTTTCCTTTCATAACCCCTTGTTGTAGCTCTTTAAGCTGTTTTCTGGCCCTTTACTAGGCTTTTTATCCTTCCCATTAGCAAGATCTGTGCTTTTTTTTGCATTTTTGTAAGCCCAACTTTAGGCCAATTATTCATGAGATAATTGAGCACTTTGCCAGGAACCACATTTCAAGTTTCTTCTTCAATTTCTACGGCAGGCACTGACATATCATTTGTGTATGTATAATGGTTCATAGTAAATCAGTACTCACAGGAAATCTTGAAAGAGTGTCACATTTGTATGATCTGACAATTTCTGATATTTAATATTATACTGATTGATTTTGATGACCTCTCACCCTTGAAGCCATACTGCCACCAAGCAGTATAATTGAACTAAATATATTCACCGAGGTTTGATGCTCAATTAACAATGAACTTTCAATATAAAACTGTTTGTGGAACTTGCTATGCATCACCACTAATGACCCTTTCTCAACTTGAATCATTTTGCACTGACTTAATTAAAATAAGCGTATGTGAAGCATGCACTACAGGATTATCTGCATGCTGTTACATTATCCAAGATAACACTACATCTGGCCCTGCTGATGATACATCCCAAACTAAAACCAACAATTTCTCAGTGTCACAATGGATCCACAAATCTGTTCTTTCTTCACTTCAGATGTTTTAAGACTCTACAGACCATTACCAATCCAATCCACCTCTGAGCAGTTGATAA